TAGCGATAGGATGAGAGGAAATGGGCTCAAGCTGCACCAGGGGAGGTTTAGGTTGGATATTAGGAAAAATTTCTTCACAGAAAGGGTAGTCAGGCATTGGAACAGGCTGCCCAGAGAGGTGGTGGAGTCCCCATCCCTGGAAGCATTCAAAAACCGGGTAGACGTGGCACTTCAGGACATGGTTTAGTCTAGTCTACCCTTGATTGGTTTAGTGTTGACTTGGTAGTGTTATGTTAATGTTTGGACTGGATGACCTTAAAGGTCTTTTCCAACCTAAACGATTCTATGATTCTATGATTCTATAAATAAATCCTTACTTGTTATTGAAGAGTTATTTTGGATGGGTAGAAGTTTTAATACCTCAGAAGGTCCTACTGTAAAAATATTTACCACTTCCTCCCTTACTTACCAGCCACAGTAAAACTCATCACATAGGTTTTGTTTCTTCCAGTAGCTACACAGCGGTACGTTGCAAAGTCAGAGGTGGTAATGTTTTGAATGACGATCATGGAGTTTGCCTGATCAGAGCAATCCACCAGTGTACGTTCTTTGAAATCTGAACCAAAGCTTTGCTTTCCTGATGAGTTGCACAGAACAATGGTATCTACCTGATCTGCTTTAATCCTTTCCCACATCACTTGCTGCACTGAATCTCCAGTTTTATAAGGGCAAGTAAAAGTGACATTTCCTCCTGGCTTGGTAAACATGGGATTATTTTGTTTCTCAGATACTTCAAAAACATCTGTTGAATAACACAAAAAAAACAACAAAAAACTGCTTATATTTCATTCAAGGGAAGTTTAGTATCAACAATTCCTGTATGGCAAATATTAATGAAATTGACTTACAGCAGAAAGATATTTAAAACATTTGAAATATTGAAAAATATCATTTATACCTATCTATGACTATACTTTTATGCACATTTAGACAAAACAGTCTTTATGGAACTGTGAGGCTGCAATGACATGGCAAGAAAGCTAGTTCTATACATTTTGAGTACATGAATGTTTTATTAACCATTTCAGCAAATATCCAACAGCATAAATTATGGGGCCAGTCTAATTTAATCTGTGATAGTCTTGTTCTGCTTTCACACAAATTATAAGGAAATGGTTTGATGTGACCCTCAGGACATGCATTAGTAAATTATGTTACAAGACATTCCAGTCTACGAATTACAATTGTCCTATTCCCAAACCTCACCACTTAAATAAATAATTTCTTAACTCTTTGTATACTCTACTTGGGAAAACCCATGTGATAGTCAGGCTGTGGTTTGAAAGGAGACTTCCAGACAAATTCAAGCCTTCTGCCACATATAAGCTGTAGAAATATCTTAAATATTTTTGACTGAAATTCCCCTGTTTTGAGTTATTGTTTTTAGTAATAGAATTCACTGTTTAGAAATAAAAAAAAAAATTTTTTTAAGTCTTCAATAGGAAAATTGTCAATGTTTTGGATATCCAGAGCATTCAATAGCCATTTGTTTTCTAAAGCTGGCTTTGTAATGCATATATTCATAAGTTAGGATGAGCACTGTCATCTTTTTGAAAACTTTAGTGTTGAAAAAGATTAATGATCAGACTGCTTTTCCTACACTGTAAAAGGACTGATCTTTCAACCTGTTCAATTAGGTTTTTTATTAGAAGTCTTTATGTCACAAAATATCACTAGTATATATTTTTAACATGTTTACCTCTATGTATTGTAACAATTGGAAGCAAAGACAGAAAATTAAAATTGCATAGGAAAAAATTACACTCATTAAATGCATCAAAATCTGTTTGTTTTTTTTAAAAAGAGGTTTAAAATGAGGCTGTAGCTAGATTCATGGGATGGGATGGTTGCAGTAGTACTCTGAGTAGAACAGAATACACAGTAGTACTGAGCCAGATTTAAATCCTCCTTGATATAACTCTTACCAAAAATCTAGGGGGGAAAATGTTGGTAAACTGTATTGCTCTGGATGCTGGTAGTGCCAGTGTTGTCAAAATCATAGGTACTGGAGAAATCATCAATACACGGTGGCCTACCTCACCTTCTAAGCTAGGTGCAAAGAGTAATAGGATTTCATGTGGGCAAGTATACTACCCTAAATCTAGGAATAAGTAATTCCATTCAGGTTGACAGGGTGGAAACTTCATTGTGAAAATCTGTGACGTCTGAGACTTGTGCAGTCTCTGTGAAACAGTGAATGAAAAAGTCTAGCCTGCAATTTTTTAATCAATGGAACAGACAGAGCACAGAAAAATTACATTCCCTCTGCCTTTGGAGATCAGAAGTATGATTAAAACATTGAAATGCTGAAAGACAAAAGGAACTGTGTCTAATGAGTTTACCTAAAAAAAATTAATGAAGAACTTGAAGATCCATGTAGACTGCTATCAAGGAGACAGAAAGTTAATGATAGACAAGGACAGATGAGAGATAAATTCACTAAACTAAACAGAAGGTACAACACAGTGAAGCTAATTAACTCCTTGGACAGCTTGCCAAAGGCAGCTATTTTTCTATTACTGAAGATGACTGCCAAGGCTAGATAATCATTTAGGATATCATTAATTTATTCATGGAAGTCTAAGTATTATTCAAATCAGACTACTATGATGGGACTCTACACTTGCAAAAGGTGTTCCTTGTAGTGCAGTCCCTCGAAAGTCACTAGACTAGAAAATATAATTTTTTTTATATCTAGCAGTTTCAGATCTGCAGATTCAGATCTTCTAGGGAAGAGGGGTAAATGAAAAGGTAATTGAAACCAATTCTCTCTCTTGCCCATCATATTCTTACAAGTCAGATCCTTTCCTCCTGTCTCACTTTCCAGACCACTAACTTCCAGCAGCTGCCTGCTTTACAGTAAACCACATATTCTTCCCTGAGAACTCTTGTCTTCTTCACTGCAGAGTTTTTGCTTTCTTCTGTTATGAGCAAGCCCTACTGCTACCCACATTCTCCTCAGGAGCCTTGAAGTTTCCCCATCCACTCCTGAGTCCATCCTTGCTGTACTATTTATTTCATGCCAATGGTACCCTGAACTCCAGGTGTTTCTCCTATCTAAACATGCTTATTATGGAAATTATATGGATGATGATGATACCTCCCACCTGCCAGAGGATTCCCACCTGACCCAAAGGGCAGCAACCAGGACTGTATAAAAAGCAGCCTCCTTCCCTGCTGCCCTGCTGTACATTCATTAGAAAAATATACATTATACATATAGTGAACTGTAAACAAGAAGATAAAACATTTTCCACCAAAAACATTAAAATCACTTCTGTCTTAAAAAGTATTAGTTAACTTTGTATATTATATTTGCCAAACAATATATCACAGTTTCCCAATAATATATAACACTACAACATACTATAGTATACTGTAACAGGTACATTACAAAGCTAAGGTTGCCTTGCAAATTCAGTGAAGAATTTCCAGGTAAAAATCTTGATATATTTGTGTAATTTGCTGGCATACTGGTGTACTGCGCACAAGGAGTGTTCCCCAGGGCTCAGTTTTGGGGCCAGTCTTGTTTAACATCTTTATCAATGATCTGGACGAGGGGATTGAGTGCACCCTCAGTAAGTTTGCAGATGACACCGAGTTGGGTGGGAGTGTCGATCTGCTTGAGGGTAGGACGGCCCTGCAGGGGAACCTGGACAGGCTGGACCGATGGGCCGAGGCCAACTGGATGAGGTTTAACAAGGCCAAGTGCCGGGTCCTGCACTTGGGCCACAACAACCCCATGCAACGCTACAGGCTTGGGGAAGAGTGGCTGGAAAGCTGCCTGGCCGAAAAGGACCTGGGGGTGTTGTTTGACAGGCAGCTGAACATGAGTCAGCAGTGTGCCCAGGTGGCCAAGAAGGCCAACAGCATCCTGGCTTGTATCAGGAATATTGTGGCCAGCAGGAGCAGGGAGGTGATTGTCCCCCTGTACTCGGCGCTGGTGAGACCGCACCTGGAATACTGTGTCCAGTTTTGGGCCCCTCAGTGCAAGAAAGACATTGAGGTGCTGGAGCGTGTCCAGAGAAGGGCAACAAAGCTGGTAAGGATCTAGAGCAAAAGTCTTATGAGGAGCATCTGAGGGAGCTGAGATTGTTTAGTGTGAAGTGGAGGCTCTACAACTCCCTGAGAGGAGGGTGTTGTGGGGGGGGGGGTGGGTTTACAACTACCTGAGAGGAGGTTGTAGTGAGGTGGGTGTTGGTCTCTTCTCCCAAGTAGTTAACAATAGGATGAGAGGAAATGGCTTCAGGTTGTGCCAGGGGAGGTTTAGATTGGATATTAGGAAAAATTTCTTCACGGATAGAGTGGTTAAGCATTGGAACAGGCTTCCCAGAGAGGTGGTGGAGTCACCATCCCTGGAGGTGTTCCAAAAACCTGTAGATGTGACACTCTGGGACACGGTTTAATGGGCATGGTGATGCTGGGTTGATGATTGGACTGATGGTCTTACACATCCCTTCCAACTTTAATGACTCCTAGTTTTTACTTTCATTAAAATATAATCCATCCACCAAGGCAGGAAGCATGAAATTATTACTCTCCCTTAATTGGTTTAGTTGTGGACTTGGTAGTGTTATGTTAGTGGTTGGACTGGATGATCTTAAGGGTCTTGTCCAACCTAAATGTTTCCATGATTCTATACAACTAATAAATAATACATTAATCATGAGAACTATGTACAAACAGCCCAATTAAAATAGAAACAATTTTGAGATTCTTGGCTGCTCTACACTCTATCATAACTATTTTCAAATACAGATATCATGACACATTTTAATTTTTTGCATTGCATCTGTAATTTACTTGACAGCATGCAGCAACATTCAGGCTTTTTCACTGTTGATGTAAGATGTAAATCACTCCCCTTCTTACCATATGATACCTTGCACAACTTAAATGATTATGTAAGGCACAAGCAATGGAGAATCAGGCCTACATAGTTCTAATTAAACCTTCGAAGTACACTAAAGTGTTCCAGGCTTTTGTTTTAAGCAATTGTCCCATTTTATTTTGACACCTGCATCAGCATAGTTCTTTCATCCTCCCTCTCCTCTGTTCAACCATGTTCTTTATTTAGCACCTTTCTGAATACACTTTCTTTGGTTTCAGCCTGGTACACATGGGATGAGAACCATCCCCTTCTGAGAAATACTTCTACGGGGAAAAAGGCATGCCCACGTACCTTCACCCACACACACACACAACCCAACCCACCATGTGTGAACATTTCAGAAATACTAAAAATATGTATCATTGTACCTGACAAAAATAGACTTCCCCTGTCCACTGATCATTCCAGCCACTGTTGCCTGCTCTGCCCCCTGCCATGGCCACGTTGTCTCTCCTCCTGGACAGAAAGTAGGAGGAGGTGACAGCATTCACGGTAAGTGCATTTGCCTCTGTTTAGTAAAGAAGTGCTCTGTGTTTGATATCCTCCCTGCATCTTTTTTGGCAGGATGTTACCTCATCATACTTTGCAGTTATACGTATTTTTATCTGCTTTAGGGCTATTAGACATTTAAAGGAGAAAAAATATTAGCTTTCATATTTTTAAAAACATATTTCAATATTTTTCTTGGAAAGCAAATCTCAGAAATATAGATGTACAAAAGAGTGTAAACCAACTTCCCAGGATTTAAAGGATCAAGCAACTAAACCAAAATTCTGCAGCAGGGAAACTGATAAAGTTAAGAGGGAAAATTAAATAATGGTATATTTTTTTTTTTCCTTCCCCCCCGACCTTCCTACTGCTGGCCACAGCATTCCTGATACAAGCCAGGATGCTGTTGGCCTTCTTGGCCACCTGGGCACACTGCTGGCTCATGTTCAGCCGGCTATCTACTAACACCCCCAGGTCCTTTTCGGCCAGGCAGCTTTCCAGCCACTCCTCCCCAAGCCTGTAGCGTTGCAAGAGGTGAATGCGCGCCGGGAAGAGGTTTTCAGACTTTCTACTTTTTGGTTCCTGTCCCATCCACTTTGATTGTTCTTTATGTTCTTTTGGTCTCTGAAAGGATTAGCTGTTTTTGTCCTTCAAAGGAAAGTTGCTTAGATACCTGTACCTGTTTTCAGCTAGTTTATTAATTTTTAAAGTCAGTATCTATGACATTTTAATTACTGTTCACTGCAAGTTTCACCAGTCGCAGATCTATAATTTTACACAAGGTTCCAGAGTTTCACTCTGGACATACACATTCCTCCTGGTTGAAAACCGTATACAGAGGAAACAATATTCATAGTTCAACATTAGTTCTGCAACTTCAGAAAGGCAGAATTCAGCACAGGAAAATAAAATGCATTGAAACACTCTGCTGGCTTAACATGTTTCTGCATCCCTGTTTAGGCTTAAAGCTTAGCAGAGGTTAAGTACTACCAGAGCTGGTTTTATACAGAGTTAGATCAGCTGCTGCAGGCAAGTGCATACACTGCTGAGTAACCAATGCGGGGAGTCACACCCCACGCTCAGCCATCCCAGCACACAGACATTTTCCATGTGGTCCCAGGTACCACAAAGTCGGGACAAGCTCATACTGCTCAGACTGATGGTAACAGAGCTACCTTCAAAGTAGCTACCCTTAGGAAGTAATGCTCTCCATCAGAGATAACTAATGACCTTAGCAGATTTTTCAAAACTGTGAAGCTAACTTAGCTCCACAGCAGAGAGAGGTTCCCACTTGGTTTGCTGAAGCTCTGCATACAAACACAATCTTCTTTCTCTGCTTATAATAAGAAGTGATAAAATAAATTACAGATTAAAAGGAGGCTTAAAATTTTATGAAGAATAACTTTCTCCAAGGCTCTTTTTTTCACAAAGAAAATCAACTTTCAGATGAGAGAATACTTCAAGATTGACCCCTTCACCCTTCTTGATTAGTCTAAATATGGAATTATATTTAGCTCCCAAACCAATGTCTTCCAACTGTATTAGGATATACCACACAATTTTGTTGAGTTTCTAAAAAAATGGGTTTACCTTTTTTTTGGATGACACAGGGAAACATGGATGCATAGCTATCAAATAAGTTGGAACAGTAAAGATCTTAATTTCTAATGAGCTACTGACACCAGTTTTAGAATCGGACTCAGAAACCAACAGTAGTGAAGTGTTTGAAAAGGAAGTATTTTTCTAATAGCAACTATTTGGCTCATAAAAGTTAAAATCATAGAATCATTTAGGTCGGAAAAGACATTTAAGAACATCAAGGCCAACCATTAACATAACACTACCAAGTCCACCACTAAACCAGCTAAGGGGAGAGTAATAATTAATTTCATGTTTCCTGGCTTGGTGGCTGGATTTTTTTTTTTAATAAAAGTAAAACTAGGAATCATTAAGGTTGGAAAGGACCTCTAAGATCATCAGTCCAACTACCAACCCAACACCACCATGCCCACTAAACCATGTCACAAAGTGCCACGTCTACCCATTTTTTGAACACCTCCAGGGATGATGACTCCACCACCTCTCTGGGCAGCCTGTTCCAATGTTTGTTTTCTTTCCATGAAGAAATTTTTCCTCATATCTAATCTCAACCTCCCTTGGTGCCGCTTGAGGCCATTTCCTCTCATTCTATCACTAGTTACTTGGCAGAAGAGACTGACACCCACCTTACTGCAACCTCTTTTCAGGGAGTTGTAGAGAGCGATAAGGTCTCCCCTCAGCCTCCTCTTCTCCAGCCTAAACAACCCCAATTCCCTCAGCCGCTCCTCATAAGGCCTGTGCTCCAGACCCTTCACCAGCTTCGTTACTGCTATACCCTTAAAACACCCTTGTAAATATGTATTAAATGATATTGTGACAATGTGGTTAATCTCTGTACCAATTATTAACACTGCATGACATTATAAACACTTAGCACGCAATTGTAATTCACCTGCCAATTTCAGTTTGTTTACGTATATTCCATTATTCTTTGTTGTTATTTTACTCTTTTAAGCTGAACTTTGATTACCTAGAGTTCAAGGAGAAGCCAAGGAGAGGGAGAGAGAAAGAGTACAGTGCTAGTAAGAGTGAGAGAATCATCCTCTCTTCAGGTATAAATATTCATGAACTTCCAAGAAGGAGAATTTTGTTGTTGGGGAAGAAGTCATCTGATAAAAGCATATATGTACTATGCCAAGATTCACCTGCAGGAGAGTTTTGAAGATGTAAGAGGTCAGAATTTCAAATTTTCATCCTCTCCAGGAATTTCATCAGTTCAGGGTGAAGGGAATTTACCAGCGATAGGAGTTCAATGAGCAGACAGAAGGAGTGACACAGGATACTGTGCTCAGCCTTCATTTATTGTTAATGATCCATATTGTCTCAGAGTGGATAAAAAGAAATGCCGTACTGAGAAACTGCATGTTGCAGCACATGTGCGCATGCATGTGTATGTATTTGTGCCTACATCTTATATTTTCCATGAGGCTCCTGAGGGTCAGACTTCAGGCAGAGCGGAGGATATAATATTTTAAGCCACACAGAAGAGAAAAGGCAGGGGAGAGGGGAAGGGAAAGGGTGTGAAAAATCAAACTGGCTCCTAAGGACAACTACTGAACCAATGTTTCTCAGGAGGGAAAGCCAAGGGTGACAAGGTGACTGACAAGGTACACACCCATGCTGCCCAGCCCCAGAAGTGTTATAACATCCAGGGGTGCAGCATGAGGATGCACTGTGGGGAATTGCTGCCCTGCATCTCAGATCCTAGTTATTACTTTTAATGGATTATTTTATGGACTGAAACTATGTTGAAGAAGAAGGAAAGATACAGTTTATTTCATGATAATTTTGTTATGCAGCTTGGTACCAGGTAAGAAAATGGCAGAAATCAATATATCATCAGTATTTTTTACCAAATGTTTCCTTTCCATTTCTTTTTGTCCTTATTAAGTTATAAATTATATTCATGTCTGACAGGCCAGCTGAAAGAAAGGTTCATCATTAGAAATGTAAGCAGCAGAAAGAGGTTCTGCAGATGGGAAAATTTCAGAACTTAAAATATTAATCACCTGTTAGTGATTTCCTTTAGAGTATTTGGAATTTTAACTATCTGAATCTGTAATTCCTTTTACCCTCTGCTTTTCACCTACCTCTGTTCATTCTATAACCGAACATGTATTTCCCCAAATAAAATATTATTCAGTCTTTCCTAGGTAATGTAATACTATCTCCTTAATTTTGAATATTTTACAGCTGTCACTGTGCACTTCCCATTTTCTCCTGCAATTGCATCCTGTAATGAATTCCAAATTCCATTATCTGAAAATTTCATCCATCACATCTACACTTTGAGAAACAAAAGCCAAAGTTATAAAACTCTTGGATCAGGATTTAACTACTGGGTGTCACAGCCAGTTATGGTTGATACTAGAGCTGATACTATACTTTAGTTAAGTTGAATTTCCCAGTGGTGGTTGCAGTGGCACAGAATTAGGGAATAGTGGCTGAGAAGATGAAGTAATTTTGGCTTATAGAGGTAGAGGAATACTTGCCAATAAAAAAAAAAAAAAAAGAAAAATTGAACCCACTAGATTCAACTCCATGTCAGTTTTGGCTTTCTTAACTGCAACCATTCATGCTTGGACAGTGTTTCAAAGTTCCTTCCAGGTCAACTGCCCCTGCTTCCAGAACATCTATGCTTCCTTTTTATGTTTGAGTTTGGTCAGAATATTCTTGTTCATCCATACAGGCCTTCTGGCATTTTTGCTTCATTTCCTGCTTGTCTGGATGGATGATGGGAGGAGGTTTTCCTTGAAAATCTTTTCTCTGTCACCCTTGGGGTTCTTTCAAGACAATCTCTGAACAGGCCAAAGTCTGCTCTTCTGAAGCCCAAGGTTGTGATCCTGCTTTTTTGCTTTTATCCCTTTCTCTTGGGATTGTGAACTCTACTATGCAGCCAAGGATGCCCCAATCTTCACTACCCCAACAAGTTCTTCCTTCTCTGTAAGTCTGAGGTTGAGCAGAGTGCCTCCACTCTTCAGCTGCTTAATCACCTGAGTGAGGAAGTTATCATCAATGCACTTGGCTAAATCACAACACACTCCAGAAACCTACCAGATTGATTGTGCCCTGCTGTGTCGCACCTCTACCAATACCAGGTGGTTGAATTCTCCCATGAGGACCACAGAATGTGAAGCTTCTTCCAGTTTTCTGATGGAAGCCTCATCTATATCAGGCCTGATCACTCTGGTCAAGTAGTCAGTAGCAGACACCCACCACAACATCACCTATGTCGATCTGCCTGCTAATCTTAACCCATGAGCTCTCAGCTGGCTCATCATCCATCCCTAGGCAGAACTTCTCACATTCCCACTGCTCTCACATAAAGGGCAACTCTCCTTCCCTACCATCCCAGCCTGTCCTTCCTAAAAAGCCTGTGTCCAGCCATTGCAGCACTCCAGTCATGTGAGCCATCCCACCATGTCTCTGTGATCCCAATGAGATCGTAGCCCTGCAACTGCACACAGAGCTCTAATTCCTTGTTTGTTGCCCATGCTATGTTCACTGGTGTACAGACATTTCATATGGTCATCCAGTCATGCTGATTTCCCAGAAAAGGTATGATAGCTTCCCCACAATGTATCCCCTCAGCATTTCCTTATTTGTGTGGACATACTTGGAATGGTCACCCTTGTGCCCCGATTTGTTGTTTTCGAGGTATTTTCTCTCCATATAATCACACACCATTTTCTTGTCAGCCCAGTCCACTTCCTTGCTCACTTGTGGGTTGTCATATCACTTTCCTGTTAAAACTCTCCTCACCAGCTTGTTGGCAGGGACACTTTTTCCTCACGTGCTCAGGCGGATTCTGTCTCTTCCTAGCAGTCCTTGATCATCAAAAAGGCTCTGTGGTGATAAAAGGTAACACCTTGCTGTTGATACCAGCCATGTAACTGGGTCTTGACCCACAGAATCTGCGTCCTCTTCCAAAGGATTTTTCCTTCGTCAGCAGGATCAAGGAGACACCACCTAAACCTCCCATGTCCTTGGCCGCCACCTCCAGCACCATGTAGTCATGCCTGATGTTCTCCAGGTCTCTGCTGGACTTGTCTTTGGTGTACGTGTGGAAAAGCAGCAGCGATTAGGAGTTTGAGGAGTGGACAAGCCTTGACAGTCTCTCTGCAGCATCCTAGAGTCTACCCTGGCAAGCAGCAAACCTCCCAAGACAGCAGGTTGGGTCAGCAGATAAACAGATGAGAAGTGAGAGTCATCCCCAAATTATCACACAACAGCAAGTCAGTTAATAGCTATAGTACCCAGCTGACATGCAATGCATGTTCATCAAAACAATGCTTACAGGGAACATAGAAAACAACCCTTCTAATTTTATCTTACTATGATAAAAACACAGCAGTCCTCATGGGGACTGAATGTTACAATTTTTTCATTAACATAGCATATTCTGATGCAAACAAAGTAACCAAGAGTACATAACAGCATCATTATTCTTAGTAACTAACTGAACATTCAAAATGGTAAAGAGTAAAAAGAAGAGTGGAAAAAAATAAAAAAATTCCCAGTGCAGAATAAAAAGATCTGGATGCTCTGATTGCTAGCCAAAAAGAATCAAAAATGTTATCACATTGACTCTTTCCAAAAGACAAATTTTCTCAGGTATGTCAACAGAGAGTCATATACAACACAAAAAAGGCATTAGTCTGCTTCAATTAGCAATGGTAAGACCTTAGATGGAACATGGTGTTTCATTCTGTGTATGTTATTTTGATAAGGTTATATACAAACTGGAGAAGATTCTGATGGAACAAGAATGATGAAATTTAGAATCATGAACTAAGAAGAAAAGTTAGAAGAACTCTGCTTATTTAGTACAGAGGGATGACTGAAGGCTGAAAACATGAGAGCCTTCCTCTTTTTTCAAAGGAAGGACTATGGTGAATAAACTCAGTATTAAACAAGAGATACCTACATTAGATATAATGGAAAAAAAAAAATCGTTGTAAGGCTGGTTAAGCACTAGAATGACTACACAAGAGTATTATGCATGTATTTTCAGCATGGGAATCAGTCAGGGATGATACAGATATGCTTATCCTGCCTCAGAACACAGAGATGGATGGGATTAATTTGGAGTGTCTCTTACAGCCTGAGTTTTCCACAATTCTATAATTCCTTTTGATCTAAGCTTCTCCTTCAGAAAGGAAGAGGAGATATCTGCTCTACTCCCAACATGGCTGGTTTATTTTTTTCCCCCTAACCTTTTATACTGAAGGGGTATCCAATCCTTAGTTCATTACAGAAGATAAAAAAGTAAGAAAAGCAGCATTTAACAGGTCAATGATCACAGCAGAGGTGTGAAAAAGGCAGCTTCACTTGCCTCCATCCTCTTGCTTTCTAATTAAGTGCTGACAATGTGGTTAACACTATGTGAGATACAGAGATAGTTCTTGCACTGAAGAGCCCAGTCTGAGAGCCAAAGAATGAATATCCCTGAGGATTAGTTCTTGCTTCCATGTGCTTTAAAGGGCTGATAATTTTTCACTGTAGACCTATGAATCACATTCTAAATTGAGACAGAGATAAATAGAAAGCAAGCTATTTCAGGTGAATAGGGACTTGAAAAAAATCTATGCAATGTGCTGCTTTTGGCAGGCAGAAGAACATTAATATAGAAGTTATTGCTGAGTGGCATGGATATCATCACACTAGCTAAGAATAGAAAAGCTCTGTCTCTGCTATCACAGAAGAGGTTGATCACTCTATTTAAAATATGGGAGTACTTCATGGTACATCTGGCATTTAAATACTCTATTAATGAACTTCCATTCTTATTCAGAGTTGCTAGCAAAACCTCTCCCCTGAGCAAATGGTCCATTGTCACTGATTGACAGAAACACAAATTTACTCATGCATTAAAAAAAAAAAAAAAGAAACCCACAATAATTTCCAATCATATAAAAAAAATTAAAAAACCCAACCAATTATGTAGCTCTGCATAATTCACAGTATGGATGTAAAAGTCACAATGAACATCAAAAGAATATTTCCCATTCTATTCAGAGCATAGCATGGGAATTTTTAAGTCAAACTACTACTATTTTAACAACTAACTGAAATAAAACTGAGAAAATAATCATAAGTTTCAAAATATACAGAAATTCATGTTAGAATTCAACAGTTTTGAAAGGCAAATAAGCAAACACAGGACAAAAATATTCCAGATAATTTTAACTACATTCGCTCTTCATGTAAATAAACATACAACACTGTTTTGTTATAAAGGCCAGTCTTCCAACAGTTTATATATCACATAATACTTCACTGCTGAAGACTTTTGACTTTCTATCTAGATGTGTAGCAAAGGCATAGTATATAGGAGTAGAACAATACCCATTTGTGATCTCTAATGATATTTATTATAGTCTATATTTTAAGTCAAATTTGCATTGTAAATTTGCCCATCGTGTATTTTAAGATTGCTGATCCAACTTTAATTGATTGAGTTCTGCATCACAAAGCTCTTCACTAGTTGATTTACTTTGCCTCTAAGACAGTTTTTCCTACGCTCCATCATCTCTGATTCTATTAAATTTAAAATAATCAATATTCTAATTATACATTCCAATGGAAACTTAAAACCCCTTAATTCAGGGATTGCTACATTTTGATGCAATGCAACCTAGAGAAGTAACTATTAATAAGGCCAAGTGGTTTGGGAGGATGTGTGAAGCACAAGAAGCCAGATATACTTATTAGTACTTCTCAAGGCAGAATGAACGAGGATAGTTTGTAGTTGCGTAGGAGGCATCAATACAGTGGTCTGGTAATGTGAAAAGCATTGCACTGAACTGCAATTGACAAAGAAATGCCTCATACTTTCATAAGTGCAAGACATAAAAAGGCAAGATTACCATTATGGGCAATGACAATACAAAGGTATAACCAAGTAGTAATGGTACGTCGTGTATCGCCACAGATGTGAGAGTGCAATAGGAAAAAAATTTACATAGTGTCTATAGAGGAAGCTTAAATTAAACCCATTAAGTTCAACAAAGTATTGGACCTAGAAGACATTTTAAATGTAAATTATCACTAATTTGTTTTGCCAGGTTGGGAACAAGACAGAAGTACACTTCAGATTTGTAGAATTCTTAAAGATCTTGATGTACAGATATTAATGAAAATCATATTTTGAACTAAATATTTGTCTGTTGATCTTGTCTTAACCTTTCCTGTTGATATATCCTTATTATAATACTCCACGGAGACAAGAATGGCTGAAAAAGAACAGACAAAACTAAGAACTTAAGGGTAGATATGCATGACAGGATGACAGGACCAGACCTTAGTTTCTGTTGAATAAATGAGGAAGAAGACAGAATAATTCCTTAAACTCTTTTTCTGTGAATTGATACTTTATTCAAACTTTAAAAAAATCCCTTCAAAGATGAGTAACTGTTGTACTGATGGATTTAAATGAAGAGAGAAGAACCAAAGGACTGAAGACACATCTGGAAAAGGATCAAGTAGACAAATGGATTCATGTCTCAATTGGCCATAGGTAAGCAAAGATCTGGACAAACCAGAAAAAGACAAAGGATATAGTACAAAGAAAAAAAGGAATTTTGCCAATACCTTTTCCAGTTCCTTTGTAAATTAAAGTCATCCATGTATCCATTTCAAAGTACTGGAGACTGGAAACATATCCTTTCCCTGTATACATTTCTTTGTGGAAGTTTAGAAGAAAGAAAGAAAGAAAGAAAGAAAGAAAGAAAGATAGATTGCAGAATAACTGTTGCTTCTTTGCTATTTTCAGGTATGTGGCTGGCAATTGGCAAAACAACACAGCCTAATACTGTGTTTTGAGTGGTGACCTGGGATGACAATTAAACATGCATCTCCATACACATCTGCCCAATGGACTGACCGAGTACACAGCTCTCTCTTTTTCATTTGAAAGTAAAATTACAACACCTGCAGCTTCAAATGTTTTCTCTTCCAGGCAACAAGCGTATGAAATAACATATTTTTGATGCTCAACAGTTCCTGCATGAAGTCTCCAATGCTAATGCTTCTTCTATTAGCAGTGACTTCATTCTCTGCTCTTCACATTTTATACTGCATTCAAAATCAATCTTCAGGCATACGTGTCTAAGCACTACATATAAGAAACTACAGATAACCCTTAAACTGTTCATGAAGAAAGGTGAAATAAAACTACTGACTATTCCTACAGAACTGTTGCATCTTATCAAAAAATGTACAAGGAGTTTGCTCTGAAAGTATGAGTTTTGTTTGCTTAGTACAGGAGTAGCTGTGACTCATAAAATGTGGTAACAAGAAAAATTAAATTAAAGAAATAGGGATATTAAAGAAATAGGGATATTGTCAAAATACTAATAAAAAGAAACATAGTTAATTATTTTCAAATGCTTGACTTCTTTCTTCTCTTTCCATGTTTTTGTTTAAAAAAGCAAGTCATGGTCCCCAAACTTTTTAAACTGTTTGATCTTGTAGTGTCAGGGTCTTGTTACACTTGAGTTGCTGGATCTAGTGGCCTAATATAACCATTAGACACTAATTGAAATATTTACTCATTAAGCATCAGCACCTGAGGCTTCAAATTGTTCAAATGAAAAATGTTGACAAATCAGAATCATACCAATTTACTCACTTTGTATTCATAGCTCTAAAAAATTGTAAAAAAGCACATGGGAAAGCAGAATCGGACTCATGACCTCTGTTGATTACCAGGAATGAAGCAGCAGAGCAACTCTGAACAGTTTGAGTGCAGAATCATTCATAGTTTTGCAAGTCAGCAAATGTTAATTCAGGATACTTTATCCAAATTTATGTAACTGCCAGCAGATATGAGTGCCATATGAAGAACATTTCACCTTATACTTTAATCTAGTTAAGAATCTCCATCATAAGTATAATGTCATATGGCATTTTTCCATTTATTTCCATTACTTCCATTCAATGGAAATTCTGAAAGTCAATCATATATTCTATATCTATAATGTGCTGCCAGCTTTCATTGAGGTATGCACTGTGGATTCCTCTACAGCATACTTACCTACTTAAATTGGTGCAAGGAATGTCTCTGGGTCCTGCAGTTAACAGGTCAGTATAGATAAATCCTGACAATTTTCAGTGTCCTGGTCGCGCAAATTAAATTATAAACCAGGGTTTGGTTTTGATTGACACAAAACTCTTAATAATATCAACTTAACTTCATGTATGCCAATTTACCAAAGCAAGTTTTTCATGTTGAATATTATGTGTCCGCAAAGTTGTATCCATTTTAACTAATCGTTAAAACTAAACCCCCAAGTTGCAAAGCATTAGAAACCATGCAATTCTTTTAAGGGAAAAAAAAAAAAAAAAAGGGTCTATTAAATGTTTGTTGATTAACTGTTATAAACAGAAGAAATGGATTTTGCAGTGAGTTTTTTATTTGTCTGGGGTAGTGTAGGTAAATTAATGCTTTTAGGAAAGTAATGTCTATTGGGAATCAATAAATCATAAATTCCAACCAAAGATAACAATGTAACTAAAACAAAGTTTTAATTACCTATAAAATGATCTTTCTAGTATGTTGACCAGATTTCTTTGTACCTGAGAATATCAGATTCCTTAAAAACCACTTCATTTTCCAGGACCTCAACTATTTCTATATATTAATCCTATAGAACAAGATCTGTGTCCAGTGAAATGATGACACTAACACTCAGCCTTCTCAAAGCTTTTTCCCTGGTGCAGAAAAACAAAAAAAAAAAACTTTGAAGGTGAACATCAGAGTCCTAATTTTACAGGCTGGAAGACAGAGAAGAAAAATTATATATCTAGTGTCAGCAGCAAGCCAAAATACTGGCTGCATGAAAGTGAATTTGAAGTTTACTGTTGATTTGATCAAAGTAGATATCATCCAGTGAATTTAAAATATTTAGTACTGATGAAGATGCTAATACAGTAAGATAAAGCCTGACTGATAACAGTTCTACTATAACTACTATGTAAATAAATACCTTCTCTAAACTCAGGTTTTAATAACATATTTAATTTGCAGTGCAGATAGAAGTAGTAATATTTTATCTTCACTGATGATACACTTCATTCTCTTCAGATCAGTGTATATAAAGGTCATGTTTACATGCGTCTATCGGGAGCCAAACAGGATTAATTGTTCCTGTTCTCAGAAACTTTGATTTTTTAAATGGAAAAGGATTAATTTCTATTCAACATTATCATCTCCCTCTGTAGTTGGACTAAACTGATATACTTGAAAAATGGAGGGTTTGCTGTTGGTTTAGGTTTGTGTTGTAATGTGCTCAAACCAAGAGAGAAATCCTACATAGTGAGAATACTGAAACCCACAGTATCATTTAAAAAAAACATACTGCTGATAACTGATCCACTTTTTGTGTGGTTTACAGTGTGCTGAAATCTGTAAGTGGATGGCCTGCTAAGGTATTGGACTGCAGGGTAACATCCCACAGGAAACTGACTGTCCTGTTTCTTGCATCATTTCAGATTAACCCTAGCCAATCCATTCAGGAACAAATAGCTGACATCAATACTGCCTTGACCAGGAAAAGGACTAAATGAACTTGCAGATCTCTACTGCATCTAACTTTTAGGATTTTATAGAAAATGAACCCACGGCCAGAATTCAGGTTGGACCAAACCACATAAGAGATCTAGTTTGCCTGTTCCTTTTTGGAAACAGCAACCTGGATTTCCAGATCTTGCCTTATTTGAATGCAACCAAAAATTATGTTTCTAATGCCTACAGTTGCATTAATATTGTGCACTAAATGAACTGCCAGAGAACAAGAAACTAGGAAATTACTACTTCAGGAATGTTATTCCTTACATAATAAAAAAGACACCAGAATGAAGCCAGCATGCAGAGATGCCACTAAAGGAATGGCTTGTTGAGGAACTCTGACCTTGATGGCAAGCCTGCCCTGAGGGACCCCACTCACCTCTTTGACTACTGGGACATTCCCTCTACGTTTGAATGACTGCAAATTTTATGGTTATGCCAATGTGCCACAATGGGGAAAATAATTTCAGGTCCAAACTATCTTACCTAACTAAACAAACTGGGGGAGACAGAACTGCTTTTTTCGGAGTCAGGGCCATAACTTGCGTGTGGCTTAATTTCTGCACTGATAAGCAGCAGTGTTTACTAATAAAAAGCCAGCAGAGATAGGAAGGCAAATTGGGATTCCTATTTCATCAGTGCCATCAACAAACATGCTGGCTAAAATCAAGTTTCAAAAACCTTCAGTGGTGAAAATAGGAACAATATACCTTGAATTTTTGAAGTTTAGATATCTCCTACAAGAGTGAGGTCCACTGTCTCATTGTAAAATTGTAATTACAGAAATGTAGATAAAATAAGGTTGAAATGAAGACTCAGAAGGATCAGGCTAAGAAAAGAACTGTTATTTTTATCTTCTGGTCTTTAAAATGCTAGGAACTAAATTTTCATTCAACCCATTCTTTCCTAGCTGTGAAATACAATAAAATATTGAATGAAGTCTATTTTCACCCTGGAGGGTGGGAAAGAGGAACAGATTCTTTTTACATTCACAATATCAAATCAACAAACCAATAACAAAAACTAGTTTTCTTTTGAAGATATGTACATAATGATCTTCTAAAGGCTTCTATCAGAGAAGCTTGGTAATTTGCACCAGAGTTGTCAGCTGACCAATGCTGAATAGGCATGCATAGAAAAATACTAGAAAAGGGTTTTCTCCTCTTACTCACACAGCTGGAAAGGAAATCAAATTGGATGAGTGGTCAGGTAATTACGGAGCCTTTGGAAAGTACATGGGCAACTACATAGAAAGTACATGGGCATAACTGGATCTTTTTCTTTCCTTCTTCCCCTTTCCATCTTTAAAGTCTCCTTTTAAAGAAAAGGTCTTTTTTCTTCATTTAAACTTTTCTACTTCCCTCTCTTTTGTTGCCACATCATTCCTAAATGGCTATTTTGTTCCTGAAAAAGCAAGCACAGAAGAGTTTCTAGAAAAAAACAATCCTAGTTTCAGACCAGGAATGTTTTGCCCTCACCATATAACATAATGATATAAATATGGTATCCTCCATGAGTAGTTGCAAGGTTCATCCATGTAATTTCGTGGGTTGTTGCAATTTCATCCTCTGAAGAGATCCTATAGCTTGTTGAAATGGTATGAGAACCTTGGCTCAATGGAAAAATCACTGTTGCAATGACCATTAGTACCCGAAGTCTGCCATGTAATACACTGTTTTTGTGCCATCTGTCTGTGTCCTCCAGTTCCCCTCCTATCTTCCCACTTCTCTTAAAATGACTTTTTGTCAAATATAATTTTTTGTCATGTTAGTTCTTTTCCCCAAATTACTCCATTTCTGCATGCTATATAACTGAAAAGAAAAATTACAATGCCAGACACTCTTTAAATTGGCACAGATTTCTCTTTTGCGTATGTAAGAAATTTTAAAAACAATGAAAGGTTTACTTACCTGGCTGAATAATTTCTATTACTTTTTCCCAAATTCCATCTGGGTAAGTTACAATGGAGCAAAAGTAAAGACCAACATCCTCCATAGTGCTGTTGATGAAGGATAAGGACTGGTCTTCCCTGGAAGCATTTTCAAAATAAATTCTTCCATTGTATTTTTCTTCGATATGTACACCATAGATTGGATGCAAGACAGCTATATTCTCTTTATGAGTTACATTAAGTTTCATCCAGGATGTCTGGATTATCATAGCTTTTTTTGGATATATGCATTCCAGTTTTGCCTTCTCAGTAAGTTTTACAGTTGAATCCACAAACTTTCCTTCCACGTTGGCTAAAGCACACACAGAAGTTCAGTTTCAGAATTAACATAATTGAAAATTGAAATTATAGAAAAACTCAGAAACAACTTTGGCAACACTACAAGCAGACCACTGAAGAAAAAGTTCACTAAAAAACCCCCAAACCCTAGACTATTACTACTTCTAACTTATGAATATCATTGAACACTTAAAATTTGTCTGAGCCACACAGTAACACACTTATGAATTGTGATCATATCTGTCATAATGCAATAAAAAAGGAAAGATGTTAGCTGGGAATAAGAAAGCAATCTTACTTCTACAAAGCTGGAGAACAACCATAAGGAGAGATGCGTGGTTCATCTCAAAGAATACTGGAATCAGTGACTGCAGTGAGACATGGTTTTATTCAATCTGCACACCATGTGCCCTTCTCACAGGATGTTTTTACTTTGGAAATATGAAAAATATCATGTGTTTTTTACTTTCACATTCTAAGAAGTTGGTTAGAGTGCGGTGCTAATAACGCCAAGTTCACAGGTTCAATCCCTGCTCACTGCAGGGGGGTTGGGCTAGATGATCTCTCAAGGTCCCTTCCAACCCAAAGCATTCTATGACTCTATGACTCTAAGAAATACCAAATTTGAGGTCTTGTTGCAGTTACCTCAGAGAGAGACTAAATTCCTATCAAAATCCACCTCAAGGTAAAGTTTGCATTACTAATGAACCTCTAGCAATATGCATGAATACTATGATAACTGATGAAGTGGGGATCTTTGGGTTTCATCAACAGAAGCAAACAGAATTCTTTCGTGCCATGTACCCAAAATCAACAGAATTTCTCCGGTTTTATGACACTGCAATTCAACATTTATCTATTATTCAGGGAGTATAAAATCTAAAGAGAAGATAAGACAGTTCTTATATATTAGAGATCATGATTCTGTGACTAGTTATAAAAAGTAATGTCTTAAGGTCTGAGAATTTATTTGTGATAACATGTCACAAGCTAGTATTTTGGGATCAAAATTATGCAGCTTGAAAATTCTTGTTCAAAGGTGTAAGAATCCTGAGTATTCATGACTCATGTTGAAATTTGTCAAAACAAGCCGCACTCTTACATTTTTTATGGATTTTTCTCAGGACAACTGCAAACATTTTTGCACCTCTGCAGTCCATAGTTTTATAGAGCTGCTTGAAATTGGAACAACATGATTCACTTGAAGTCAAAACTAAGCTTGAATCGAATAGCTAAAATTCTCAAATGAATAAACAAATGTAATTTGAACTAAAGCTGACAACAGAAATTAATATTTTAGGTGAATAATAGCCTGCACAGGCTTGAGCAGAACTTGGCATTAGATCTGTTTAAGACTCCTCCCACAGTGCAACAACTTGTGTGTAAACCAAAACCTGTATATATTTATCTGTATTAAATTAGTCATGTTTTAGGATAATACAACATTTTGAATGTTTGTAATGACTCCATTTTGCCACTTCTTAGTTAGATCTATAATTCTCCATTGTTGCGGTTGGACTTATTTCTACTCTACTTTGCCTAGATTCACAAAGTACACCTAGATAGTCAGTAGTCCACCTGATGCCGAGTGTAAAAATTTAAATAGAAGAGAAATGAGCTGAAGACTGAGTCTTGTTTTATTTGTGTTACAAAGTTATCTTTTCAAAGAGATCAAAAGATTAACTTACATTAAGCTTGTCTCAGGAAATAGAAGTATTTCTGATAAGAAAAGCAGGAAATGGGAAGCTTCAGAAACTAAACCACAGATTTTGTATTGGAAAAGAAAGAATCTTGTGAGCTGAAGAGGTCCAGTTCCTGGATGCTGTGTGTCATAGCGGCCTTTAAACCAGCTACACAGGATCTATATGGTTCCCACATTTAAATCTTGAACCTCAGCAGCTAGCTATTCTCAAATTGCAGTTGCAAATGAGGCAAAAAGACAAAGTAACTCTCTAGCTTGAAATAGTATTTTTTATGTCATACTACACATGTATATAGTAATTCACAGATCAGTGATGTTCCACAAAATCTAAAGTGGAATGAAAAAGATAAACATATGTTAATTTTTTTTTTACTGTTATTATTACAAATGAAACTTTTTATACATCTGTTTTCTTTAATTAAAACTAAGATAAAGTACTCAGGAAGTCTCCAAAATGAAGAATAATTCCCTTAAATGAAAACTATTCTTCATTCATTTGTTTATAAATATAAATTATAATTTTATTGCTCTGAATTTCATGCTCATTTCTTTCCATCTGGCATTGAAAGAAAAACAGACGTCAAGAAATTAATGTCCAACCCCACGTGATGACAAAGTATCGATAATATATTATGTCATCTAATGACATTTATTTACTGTACAACAGACACAGTTACCGCAAATGTTAGCGATTCTTGGTCAGCTAGTCCCAAGAACCGGGTACCTTGTCATACCCACTACAAAAAGGAGCCTGTAACCAGAGCATTACTGGGTGTCCCTCTAAAGGCTGCAATAAAAGTCCCCTTCAGACACCAGTACAAGTCCCCTCTAGACACCTGGACAACACCCCTGCAAGTCACAAATCAGAAAGCTGTAGGCACTGTGAAAGATGACTCTACTGGTATTATTTGGGAGCGGCACACACTTAAAGTATTATATTTTTACAGAAGATGTAACCTATAAAAAGAGAAATACACACGCTCTCCACCCTATCCTCCTGGGCAGTGGAGGTAGTGTAAGGGAAGGTCCATCGTGCAGCCAGTTCCCTTCCAGCCTCTTCTTGTACCTCCCTTACCTCTCACCTCGGTTTCTCTCTACCTCCCCAGCACTAAAAGGCTGGAAAATCCACATCTGATCATCTGTGGATAAGAAACTCTCACAGCAGCAGCAACAGCAGCATCACATCTCACAGTCACTCCGTCACTTCCTTAGGCTCTGCCTCTCTGGTTCTCTGCCCACCGTTCCCTACAGCCTGGCTCTTCTTTCCCAGTAATCCCATTTTCTCTCCATCCTTTGAACCCCAAAGCAAAGGAAGGGAAGGCTCACAAAGACAAACAAGCTGTAGTGAAGTACTTGCTGGCTAAATGCCAATTACAGTTTGACAACAAAAGCAGCACGGTGGAATTTTCCAGCTGAATGTACAACTGTAGGATGTGGTTTAAAAGAAAAAAAAAATGAAACTAGAAAGAGAAAGAAAGAGAAAGAACAAAAGATATTGTACAGTAAACACAATGGAGATTTACAGCTTGGATTTTAATCATGACTTGAACATACATCTTCAGTGACCCTGGGTGAGTCATTTCATTTCCTGGTGCATTAATTTCCCAAAGTCCAATACATAGATAATATGTAATGAATGCTGCTGTTTCAAAGCATGTCGCAATAATCTCCGTAATGAGGTTTTTTAATGGAAATTGCTATAAAACTGTGAAGAATAAGACATACATATAGTGCCAGCACAGTATGTTAATACCCTTTTTAATGATTCATTAGTATTTAAGATTTAATAGATAGGCCTGTAGCAATAGTGCAGAAAGAGTGGCAAATATACTTGCAGACTGCTGCTACCACCAGAAAAAAGGCCTTGACTGTGGCAGTACAGTGAAGCAGGAGATAGCTAAAAAGGAGACCGCTTCTTTACCTACAAATATGACCAATTTGAAAATGATCAGGGCAAAAAGGTTCTTTCGTTTAAGTGAATCTCCAGTGAAGATAACAAAACAAATGAGCTAGAAGGAGGGAGGTTTGAGCATATTCCACACTTGGTGTGAGCATCCCTGTAGATTAGCTCTAACCCTGTAGAAGCCAGGTTAACCAACCCAGACAAGAATTCAGTACACAAGTGATACAACTCCCTATTTCTCTATGGATGAGGGTCGCCCTGTTGCCAGTGCGCTACCATCAAGGAAATAAGCTCTTTTTCCATTCAGCATTCTATGTTTCTTTAAGCAGGATGGCTGGATAAAGGCACAATAATTCAATTTGCTTTTTCCTATTCTGCATCTAATCTAATTGAACAAATAAAGCCACCCCAATTGGATTAATCTATAGGCATGCCTGATTCAGTAACATAATGGATAGGATTCTTCAGTATGTAGTCATTAACCTCAGAGAAGAAGTTAAGTTAACAACAGATATTCCTCCAAAAAGAAACAAAAGAGTTGTGAAATAAATGCAGTCACATTTTGGGGGCATATTGGTAAAGAAGATTCAGAGAAGAAAGAAAAGTTGAATCTAAAAAGCTTTCCCAAATGTAGAAAAGTAAAGAAAATCTAATCTACATACTCAAGTTCTCAATAATTTTTCATTGTTAAACATACTGGCCTCCAAGAGGTTATGTTATATAAATTATAGTTCTATGCTATATATTGAAATGCTTCAACCCCAAAAAGTCAGTCTTTGCAAGAGCATATATATTCAGGCATCTTTAGGTAAAAGATTATGTTTCTACATTTCTGGAAATGGAAAATTATTTACACTTTTTGGAACTGAACCACAAACAGGTTATTCATCCTAACATAACACTGAACACCTAAATGGGTCAGGAAGCTGAAGACTGTTGGTGATAAAACCCACAGCCGTAATATGAAGGCTAGATAACACTAAATGTCAAGATTCGGGAAGAGTGTTTTTGCATTTTTTTTCAGGGAGATTATTCATGAGTAATGGATGCCATCTGAATACAGAAAAGCTATCTTTAGTGACAGAATAAGCTAATGGTTAGATGTACTAATAGTATCAAGGTCTGCTTAAGGCAGTGGGAAAAACACCACTGCTGAACAAATTTTGAACTATGAAAGCTCTACTACTGATGACTCTCAAGCCAAAGGTGTGTGCTAGGAGATAAGAAGGTTCATGGTATTTTTTTAAGTTCACTGTGTAAGTAATGTTCCTTTGATGTGCTCATAGCAGGAGAGTCTGCCCGTGAAGACGCGCTCAACTTTAGTGAAGTTCGCATGTCTGCGTGTGAGGGGGAAATCCTTAAAGCAGCCATTAGAAGTACTCCTCTGTCCATTTGAATAAAACAAAAGTAGAAAATATGATGAAAAAGTGAACTGAAGATAATTATGAAGAAAATTTAAAAAGTCAAGTTTATCTACTTAAAAAAGAGAGAGAAAACCTCAACAAATAATCCCAAGAAAATATCCAATTAATTATATTTTTATTTACATGATTTCTTAATAATAAAAGCTATCACCATGCCTTTTTCTTTTATCTAAACCTTTTCTGTTTGGTGATCTCTACTGTAAACGTTTGCCACTGATTAGCTCAATAAGGTATCAAAAATGTCCTTAAAAATATTTTATAAATTCTTCTACTTTTATAATAGGAAGGTAGTACTAGACTTCTGTTCACATTTTC